GAGTGGTTCTGAGAATCAATAGAGTGGTTTCTGAGAAGGAATGGAGTAGTTTCTGAGAAGGAATGGGATGGTTTCTGTGAAGGTATTTAGTGGTTTCTGGGAAGGAATAGAGTGGTTTCTGAGATGGAATGGAGTGGTTTCTGGAAAGGAATGGAGTGGTTTCTGGAAAGGTATGGAGTGGTTTCTGGGAAGGTATGGAATGGTTTCTGAGAAGGAATGGAGTGGTTTCTGTGAAGGTATGGAGTGGTTTCTGGGAAGGAATGGAGTGGTTTCTGTGAAGGTATGGAGTGGTTTCTGGGAAGAAATGGGGTGGTTTCTGAGAAGGAATGGAGTGGTTTCTGGGAAGGAATTGGGTGGTTTCTGAGAAGGATAGGGTGGTTTCTGGGAAGAATGCAGAGAATGTCATAGAAGAAGCAAACAAAGCAGTCCTCATCGGCTCATCTGAGATGCAGAAACATAAGAGCCTACGCTTACCGGCAGGCACATCATGATGGTGCTGTTAATCCTCTGGAAAATTAATTCATGAACTGGGAAACCATGGTGGCGTAATAGCTAGACGCTGGACTAAGGTCAGAGAGTCTATGGCTCAAACCCGCATCTCATAAGAGGTTTTTAAATACCAAAAAAAAAAAAAAATTACTATTGATTCTGGCTCCCAGGTCAACCCAGCATAACACAGGTACCATGTAATCTGGAAAGTAAAAGACGCCGGCATGGTGTTGATTTCATCATCCCCCCCCCCCAAATGCCGATTTAGTGGCCCCTTTGTGTCATTATATTTTACATATGATCCACATTCCATTTTTCAATTCCGTTATATCCTCTACAGTCGAGTTTAGTTGAGTCAAAAATTGACATCACAGCACTCGAGGAATTCCTATGCATGCCCTGTCCTCATCTTCAGAGGCCAGCGCAGAGTTCCAAAACTGGTTAGATGTCCGTCTTGCCTTTCCTCTGATTGTTGTGGCTGGCCAGACCCTCTGGTTACACTCAGGTGTCTCGTTCTCTCCAGGCCATAATAATCTTGTTTCTCTAATGATTCCGTTGATTGTTCCCAAAGGGCCTTGACCACATCTACCTTGTCATTTGTCAGTTCACCACCCAGTGGTGCAGATCCAGCCAATCTATGTGCCTGCTCACTACCCACTGTATGGCGTGGAGAAAAGATCCAAAGTTTGATCCAGTTTATATCTCTGGGAATGCGGTTAATATAGAGGCTTTTCTCTTGCCTTAAAGCAGTTTGTATCTCTGGGAATGCGGTAAATATAGAGACTTTTCTCTTGCCTTAAAGCAGTTTATATCTCTGGGAATGCGGTTAATATAGAGGCTTTTCTAGTGTATTAAAGCAGTTTGTATCTCTGGGAATGCGGTAAATATAGAGACTTTTCTCTTGCCTTAAAGCAGTTTATATCTCTGGGAATGCGGTTAATATAGAGGCTTTTCTTGTGTATTAAAGCAGTTTGTATCTCTGGGAATGCGGTAAATATAGAGACATAGGCTATCTTGTCTTGAAGCAGTTTGTATCTCTGGTAATGCGGTTAATATAGAGACTTTTCTCTTGTCTTAAAGCAGTTTGTATCGCTGACAATGAGGTTGATTTATCTATCCTATGTTCTTCTATTCCCATTATTAGTATTATTACCAATCGAAAACCTCTGGTTGCCTTGGTTTCCCCGCCCCTGTGTTCTATACCTCGCTGTTGTAGCAACAGCCAGCACAAAAATTACTTCGCACTGAGCACTTTGTTATTCAAATGAAATAAATTATATTAACACAATAAATACATCAAAAACAATATTTATTAACTTCTACATGTCAGTTTATTGCGAAATGTGTTATATTATTGTTCGTTTTTGAGTGTAATGAAGGATCTATTTTTGCCAGGCTCCGTGAGCTTGCCTGCTGGTGGTGTGGTGGCTGAAGGAAGTTAGAGCAGCAGACTTGAGAAAGTTTCCCAGTTTGAGCGGATGTAGTTAGTTGTTCTTGTTGTTGTCATGTCTCGCATTCGTTGCTACACAACTCCGGATTCATTTCCACATGCACACAAGTGAGTTTTCTTCACAACATTTCTTTTCTTTTAATATATGTAATAATTTGTGATCGGTGTTTAGTTTAGCCTAACTTTAGGCGGCCGTGAAATAAATAAATAATGTGCATCAATATATAAAAGTAATAGTTGAGTTCCCCTTCTTCTTCGCGTTCACCAGCTGTAGAGTTGAGTGAAGAATTGATATCATAAAAAAACTCTAGGCATTCCCGCATGCTTCGTCCTCATCTTCAGCAGCCAGCGCAGAGTTCCAACACTGATGGTACCGGTCACAATCTGGTTATATGTCCGTCTTGCCCTTCCTCTGAGTGCAGTGAGCCGACCAGACCCCCTGGTTAGCCTACACCCAGATGCCTCATTCTCTCCAGGAATGTAGTTTTAAATAAGTGCTACGGTTGTTAGACTAAGACTTGGATCTTTGACACAAGAAAAACATTGTGAGGATTTTTTTAATGTTCTAGGACGGGGCCTGAGCCTAGCTAAAGTGCGCAATAATAATGATGATGATAGTTAATGAATAAATAATAATGTGCTGAATGGCAGATAAGTAAAATGATATTGAAAAAATATAAAATGTTGGGAAAGGGGGGGGGGGGAGGAGAGGGGGAGGCTTTCCTCCTCAGTTTTTCTGTGGGTAAGGGTTGAAGGAGTCCAAGCCTCCTGAATCCGGTACTCCTGACTCCTATACCGGTTATTTTCTTTTACCTCATCTCATGTACTCCAAAATGTTGGAGGCAATTTCCAGGAAAGTCCAGCAGTATAGGTGTGTTAGGATGTGAAATGAATACCGACTAAACCTGACTACCCTCCGCCCCTCCCCCCCCACCTTCCATAATACTGAACTTTCCCGGGAATTCCCTATGAAATCTCTGAGCCCTCCAAATGGGGGTAAAATAAAATAACCCCTGTACCTTGGCTTTCCTTTCCTGTTTTAATGTTACTCCAGGTTGAATAATAGGAAGACAGAGAGGTCAAGGGTAACACTGACTCTTTTAGTTCTTAACAACACATAGTGTATGATAGAATAATCCTTGTGAACCACCTCCAACGAATAATGAATTGTCTCAGAGCATGTAACAGAAATAAGTGCTGGATTTAGGCATAACCTAAGCTGCAGCTTAGGGCCTCAACATTCTCCTGGGGACTCAACAGTTTGCTAGGGCCTCACAATCTGCAGGGGCCTCAACATATTCCTTTTTTTGTTCACAAATGCAGTTTTATTTTAACTTGAGCACGAGGAGTTTTACCGGAGGTGCCAATATGTATAAATAACCAGTTGGAAAAAACCATGTTTATATTACTTTCAAAGATGATTAATACTGGAGAAGCCAGATTTCTTCAGTGTGTTGCGACTAAAAGCAAAACAAGACTAGAACATATTACATATTGAGTGGGATTCAGAGAAGTGTTCATGGCGCATTACACGTTGAGTGGGATTCACAGAAGTGTTAATCACACATTAAGTGAGATTCACAAAAGTGTTAATCACGAATCACATGTTGTTTGGGACTAAAAGAGAAAATAAAGCCTTTAACAGGATTATATCATTTCTGTGATTTCTCAGATACATTCTTTATCATTTCTTTTACTAAAAATTAAATGACATTTTATTTCTCTCATTCATATATTTAAAAGGAGAGCTGCCGCGGTGTAACAACTAGACGCTCACTTGCTGATCTGAAAGTCATGGGTTCGGGTCCTCACAGAGCCATACTTTTTTCAAAAATGACCTTGGCTGTTAGGTCAACCCAGTCTTGGGTGAGCACCAGGTGCAGTCCTAGGAAGTAAAGGCGGTTGGCATGATGTTGACCACATCACCCACCCAGTGCCAGTTGGTCTGTAAAATAGAGGTCTAGCCCTATACGCCTAATTCACCTGAAGGTGTGGAAAAGGGTTTTTTACTTTATATATTTTAAAGTCTTATGATATTAGCTCATGTAATTTGAGACAGTAAGGCCTCAGGGCATTATATAGTTTAGGGCGTCATCAAGTCTAAATCTGGTCATCAAGTCTACCCAGGTGACCACAACAGTTAAACTTTTATTTAGCATTTATAAACTTTCCTCACTTAGGCCGAATAATCTAGCACCCAAGGGTTTCTGTGGTAACGTGATTGAGCTGTTTGCCACATGCTGTGAAGGTCGTGGGTTCAGTTCACGACGGCGGCTTTTGTTTCACAAGTGCTAGTTTTACAGAGATCCCTGGTATTGTTGCTGAAGCTACAGAGTTCACACTTTGTGTGGTAATTTTAGAAAGTGGAGTTTATTCTTACGGAGTTCTCCCATCTAGGTAAACTCTGCCCATTTACACAATATGTCACTTGTGATCGGTGCTTGCTCAGGCTTGTCAACTTCACTGAAGGATATGGGGGTGTTGCTGTGTACTGTTTGCTCTAAAAGCTTTCTCTGTTGTCTTCTATACACATTTTTGTTCAGAGAAAGAGAATACATGTGACGAAGGTTGCAGCACTTTCATAAGGGGAGTTTGTGTAAGGGCCAGTCCTGCATGTTTTTGGAGTTTTAAAAGCGCTGATGTGCTGGAGTATACAACACCGCTGATATCCCGTGCTGTATATTTCAGCACCTCAGCTCTTTTAACTCGTAGGAGTTGACTAATTGGGAGCTTCCTTCGAAGTGTAAGTGCATCTGCCCGATCGGCAAGAAACCACTGCACAGAAATAAACCAGTAAAATGGATGTAAATGTGAAACACAGACCCAGGCATAACACCAAAGTCCAGATAACCAGGACTTTCTGCCAGAGCTTATAGCCAGTGAAAAAAGAAGAAGAATTCAGCAACTTTTATATAGTAATATATGCCATCATTTTGCTCTTTAGTCATTACTTTCCTTTTCCCCATTTTGTTAACAGATAAAGATGGCCAAAAGTGGAGGTATATAATGCTTGTTAGCTTTATCTTTCATACTTTAAAAGAAAGAGAAGCAGCAAGCCAGAATGGATGATGCAGGTGAAGATGGTAGCGTCTACAAGAAATCAATCAAGGTGGAAGATCAGTCCCAGGAAAGCTTGACACTGTCAGGAAGTAATCCTTTGTCACAAGTCACAGCTGCAGAAACTGTTGGTGAACATAATGTGGTGTTCACTGTCAAAGTGGCCATAGCTGTGTCTTCAGGTAAGTCTGTGTCCTTGTCTTCTTCTTTTGTATTTTTTTTTTTTTCTGTAAACTCTGGGAGAAAATTTAGGTTGGTTGTCCACTTCTGGACTTTGGTCTTGTTCCAGGACTTGTTATGTGCACATCCATTTGACAGATCAGGCTTATTTGTTTGCCAGTTAGGAAATTAAAGTGAAAATTTTGAGAGCATGCATCTTGCCTGTAGCAACACACTGATATGAGTCATGGACCATCTCACAGTCCTTATGGAAGAAGATTGATGCTTTTGAGCTGAAATGCTATAGAAAGATTCTCAGAATACAATGGACAAAAAAAAAAAAAAAAGAAGTACTGACATTCTAAAAGATCTAAACTTTAAAGTAGATTGGCTAGTAAACAGCATCTTCTCTCGTAAATATATTGGCTATAACAAGCGCCACATTGGATTGAAAATAAAAAAAATAGTTATAATTTAGAGCAAACGAATGTGGTGAAGTCCAGGCGTGGTACACGTCAGATTGTAATGCAAGCATGCAGATTAAGTAGCACGAGCCAAGTAAAAAAAAAAAGATTGAATTTATGTGGGCGTATAATTGAGAAAACACTGAGGAGTGGAAAGATTACTTAAGTCAAAAAATAAACAAGAAGAGTCAGTCTCATTTGAGTTCCAGAATAGTGTACAATAGTGTACATGTCAGCTGAAGGGATGAACCAGTTTCGAGTTAATATCTTAATTAGTCTGAATGTAAGTTCCTACGCAAACCTGGCTACTTGTGGCGGCGATTCTCGTCCGGCCGATATTATTGTGCAGAATGGAAGATTTGTGGATGTCATTGTTGAAATACTGTTGTGCCTTTTTTAGGATTCAGTTGTAAAGGTAATGACTTATTGAATTATAAAATGTTTGAATCGTGATTTTTTACTGCCACCGCACGGGGGCAGTTGTCGAAGGCGACTGAGTGAATCAAATAAACTGTGACAGTATAATCAGCTGTGCGTTCACGTAGTTTTGTGTTTTCAATATGTTGAGATGCCGGGAGTGCAATGCTTAGAGCCAAATGTTAGAAAGAGGAGCACTGCAATAATATAAGGCATGGTACCAGGAAAGAGGGGCAGGGGCCGACCAGCACAAAGATGGGTACAGGATATAAATGAGACCTTGGGTAGAAAAGTGCATGAGGCAGGAGATCTGGTGAGAGACTGAGCCTCGTTCTACAGACCATGATGAGAACGACGTTCTGCAAAGGACCTGCTACGTGATGATGATGTTGATGTGATCAGCAACAGCGGGGTCTGTAAACATCAGTGTCTACAACCATGTGACTAGTGCACCAATGGCATGAAACAAGTCCTTTACCTTTCATTATATTGAAGTGACATTGAAAACTCATAATTTTGCTTAGTAAAGGCGGAACTATTTTTGTCCCATTGGCCGCACAATCTATTATTATCTGTTACCCATGTTAATTACCACAACACAATGTTTGTTATGTTTTTTTTTAAATGTTTGGTCTGTGTATGCTAAAGAAATATGGCTAAAACTTTTACTGTGCAGCAAAGTGTATATCTTTGAAAGTGACATGCTGTTAAATTGATGTAATGGAATCAGTAGAGAAAGAAGATTATTATGGCCTGGAGAGAATGAGGCACCTGGGTTTAAGCAGAGGGTCTGGCCAGCCCACTACACTCAGAGGAAAGGCAAGGCAATATTTTAACCAGATTGTGACCAGTACCATCAGATTTGGAACTCTGCGCTGGTTGCCGAAGATGAGGACGGAGCATGCCCTGAGTGCTGTGATGTAAATTCTTGACTCAACTCAACTGATAAATTAATGTTGTGGTTTTTGTGCCAGATGGATTCTTCTTCTCTTCCTCCAGTTATTTCATCAAAGTGTTGGAGGAGATGTAAGGCTCTTCTGTGTGTTTTTTCTAATGTGTTGTATAAGTTGGTCTTAATTTCTTTAAGGTTGTTCTTGATGCCGTCATTCCATGTTTTCCATAGTTTACCTCTTGTTCTTTGTTCATTATATTTCTTCAGTGAGGCTAACAGAGCAGACTGATAGATTAGCTACTGCCGCTCATCTGGGCGGTGAGCTACTATGTGATAAAGGGAATATAGTGAAGGCTTTGTGGCAGCAATTCTCATCCTGTGGGTCGTGCCTCTTTTGGGGGTCAGATGCCGTTTAGCAGGTGTCATATCAGACCATCAAAAACACATATTCACTGAAGTTATGAAGTAGCAGTGAAAATAATTTTATGGTTGGGATCACTACATCACGAGGAACTGTATTAAAGCGTTGCAGTATTAGGAAAGTTGAGAACCCCTGCTCTGTGGTATTAAATGGACTGTGCAATAGAACAGATAGAGATTCCATACATTGAAAGACTAATTCATTTGTGGGGAGGAAGGGGGGGGGGGGGGTGGTGAGAGGTTCTGGATAATATTCATCATTGAGGGAAAACATGGGCAGACTTTTAATTAGGTTGCAACTGATACTATTAGCATGATGTCTCTTTGCTGGCTACCGAAGAAGGGACGGAGCACATGTGGGAATGTCCCGAGTGCAGTGATGTTAGACCTTGATTCATTTATTCGTTAATTCTCTCTGGCAGTTGGTACCAGGGTCTTCTTGTCAGAGGGCCAGATCATCTCAACTGTTGCTGTAAAAAGATCAGTTTAAAAAAAAATTACGTTACTGTATGCGAGAGATTGTCAAGACCGCTATGTGTGACCCTGTTCATCTCTGTTACCTGATTAGTGTCCTTCTGTTGGGTCCTGGGTGAGGGTTCTTTTTTGGTTACTCATCATGTAAGGTTGTTGGAGCACAGGCTTATATAGAGTTGAGGATAGTTGGTGGGAGTAGGAGACACTGGAATAAACCAACTTCAGTCCGTGTGTGGGCTCTAAGGCTGGGAAGGAGGGAGTATTTAATTGCCCCCTCTCCCCAGTTCATGCGCTGGGCTGCATTTCGGGAGGATGGAATAGACCCAATACCCCTCCCCCTCCCCCTCCCAGTGCCTGTGTGGGTTTGGAGGCTGCACATGGGGGAGGAGGGGATTGACTCACTGCCCCCCCCCCAGTCCCTGTATTGGTTCTAAGGCTGCATAGGGGGAGGAGGGAATAGACCCACTCCTTCCCCCTCCTAGTCCCTGTGGGGGTTCTGAGGCTGCATAAGGGGAGGAGGGAATAGACCCACCCCTACTCCCTCCCAGTCCCTTTATGGGTTCTAAAGCTGCATTTGGGAAGGAGGGAATAGACCCACTGTTCCCCTCTGCTCAGACAAGTCATAAAAGATGACTAAGTTAGGGTCTGACTGAGAAGTTCCATTCTTTACTGACTACTTATTTTCTGTCTCTCTCTTTCTGAGTGTGTGTCTCTGCCGGGGTTGACAGACGGTGTATTCGTCGTCCTCTTGTGGGAGGATACAGTTTTTAGTTTTGTTTTTTTCAAGCCCCACCCTGGCTTTTGTCGGGGGCTCTAAATATTTCCTAACGGCTGAACGGGATACAACTTCCCTACCTGCCTGCAGCCTGTGTTACTGTGTAGAAGAAGAAGCGAATAATAATAATAATAATAAGAAAAAATTGAGCTAGAATGTTTAATCTATTGTTTTTTTTTAAATTTGTGTTTAGGGTTTGAGGTCTCTTATTCTTTTTGTTTGTTCGTTTCTACTGTATTTGTTTTCATTACTCTGTAAGCTCTTGAAGTCACTTAACCCAAATCCCCGAAGCTATAAAGAGCAGACGACAGAAATCAACGAACTCCTGCAAAAAATAACAATATGGTGATTTAACATAAAAGACCAATTTGCTCACATCTTCTCTGCTATGGAGTACTATCCGCCCATGCATTTTTAATCGTATTTAACCGATAGCCTTTACAATTCCCGTTTTCCGTCTTTTATTTACTGTCAAGCTCATTCTCACCGCGGGAATTCCGGCCAGTTTGGCGTTTTTTGCCTTTGATACGATCTTCGATTGAATCAGTCTTGTTCGTAAGCTGGACATTTATAATGCACGAGCAGAGTTCAAAGCCTTTTGTTTGCCCAACAACGTAAAAGCACATGCTAGGATGCTCGCTTACGGCCGCGGTGGCATCGCGAGTCAACAACAATTAATCATCGTCGTTTGGCAGCCGACCGTAATTAACCACAACCGGTCGGTTGACTGATGGCCAATTGCCTGTTTTCCCGCGCCGATGGCGCCTGCTTGGCACGACATGCCCAACTGTAACACAAAAAGATAATTTTAATTGCTTCATCTGTTTATTTGTCGTCTTTCCTCATTTATCGTCTTTATATTTTCTCCCTTATCCTCTGTTTAATTTCTCCCCTTTCCCCTTTTCTGAATTCTCCTAACGTCTCTCCTGTAGACGTTGACATGCTTTAGTGTACAAATAAAGTACAGAACAGCTGTAGCAGCAACGAGGACGGATGGAGACAGAAAAGCTGATCGATTTTCGAATGGCGGTAGCCTGTTCACTACAAAATGGAGGCACATGGAGATGGGAGCATGAGTAAAGCACGTGCTAAGCTAAGAGCTTATAATAAAACTGGGCAAGAAGAGTGCGGAGGGACGTATACGCGCAGATAATAAGAAAATATGATTTAGGAATAGCAGACCGCAAATTAGCTGGTAAATCATCGCCGATTGCCCAGACTCCAGTTTCTGAGTCTTGGTCGATCTCAGAGCAAATTTTTTGTGTGTGTATGGAAAAAAATGGGTGTGTGTGTTCGGGGGGGGGGGGGGGGGGGGGGGGGGGGGAGGTTCCTAAAAAATGCACTAACCACTTAGTGTTCTCATTCTTCTACTTCTGTCTCTAAACCTAGTAATCTTGTATCTTGGTAAACTTAGTGTCAGCTTCATAGAAAACGGGTCACCCCATAGTTGTTCTGCTTGTGGAAAGAGTGACAGACTGCTGTCTCGGCATATGCACTAGCATACACACGCATTAAAGGCATATGGTAGCCATCAGAAGTGCTAACGCAAACAGTCCGATATTAGAAATGCAGTTCTTTGTC